CTGCTCCAGTGAAAGAACAGCATCACATGACCACAAGTATAACCATCAGTCTTCTGCCTGGGCAGCCAGCGTCATTCCTCACAGTTTTTGAAAGGAGAGTATCATGGAAACTAGGACTCTGTAGGATTAGATGCTCGTGCAGAGACTTTGATTCACACTGGAGCTTCAGTGTATGGTTGAGGAGAGAGGCCTACACTGTCCCCCCCCCATAGTTGTTTAGAACTACCCCAGCTGTATAAACTGGGGCTGCTTTCAAGTAATGACTCCATACAGTACACAGCAAAGACATTTATTGCAGGAACAGCTATGTTTTATGCAGTAAATATGTGACATCTGAAGCATTCATATACAATGTGTTGGGAAGCCACAGCATAAACAGGGCCTGGGCCCGCAAGAACATGTACATGGGTATTTAAAGATGCACATATATTATTCCCACTTTAAATATTTGCTGCAGGAGAAAAAAAAGTAATCATAGCAAATACAGTTCCCACATAAAGTACAGTAGTGCTGTAAATGTATGCAATTTGCAAACGTTAACCAAAATAAAAAATATGAAATTTGCATGGTTCTAGTTTTGAGGTAGATGACCAAAAGAAGAGTCTTCTGAAGAAGGAAAGTTGCTTGGTCAATAACTTTACATACTTGAACTGTAAATTAAAAACTTCCTGCCTCAGAGAAAATATCAAAAAAGAAATAAACTGAAATGAAAAGATTAAAAAGTTCATGTCTTCAAGTTGTTATGTAAAATGTTGATAACTTTCTTCATTTATTTACTCATTGACAAACAGTATTTCCTTGTTGCTACTGCAATCCTCAAACAATAACATTTAATTTTGCAGCTAATTTAAAGTAGTTCAATATTGTAACAATACCCCAATCCTAGACTCTTAAAGGTCCCACTGATTTCTGTGAGATTCCTACGCATACTGTTGTAGCCTTACAGGCTGATCTTCAACTTCCTCTAGGTCAGTGAAGACAGGATTGCAGCTTTGACCAGTTTCCTTATGCCTTCAGGTGGAGGAGGGAATTCAGTAACCATTCACATTGGTGTAGCCACAGCACTGTAGAACTCAGTGGTTCCTTGAACTGTGTTGTATACTGCCCTTTTAAACTTGATTAATGCATTTCACTTTTCAGTGGAGGGATCCTTCTCAACAAATGATTTATGTACCTGAATAAATATGTGTAAAGGTTATCCTCCTCACATGCATTGTTGCTCTGTCTAGGGCTGCTTTAGTTGTGATGGTTTTCCTCCACATGGGTATGCATGGCTACCCACATTATGCGGAGGTTTTGAGAATTTCAGCATCCCATATTATAGGTAGATTTGTCTTCTTTTGTTGCTAGTAGGTTGTATGAAAAGTATCATATCAGAAGACTAGCCCACATACCTGGATGTAACTTACTGATAGAGAACTGATCTCTGCCTACAGGATACTTCCACATAATTTGTTATGCATTGATACGGACTAATAGGTTTGGCCGGATCCTAAGGTTGATCTATGACGGACTCTTACACTGTAAATAGCCAATCACGGGAGTGGGGTGGTGTTGGGTGTTGTGTGCTGCAGGGATAAAAGCAGGGTTCAAACCCGGGTAGTTGGTCTCTAGTAGAGCTGAATTTCACTATTAAATATGAGCTGATCACTTGCTAACCTGTCTGAACCCTGTACATTACACAGTTCCACAAAGGAACCTGGAAAAGTGATCCTAGCACTGGAAATGTGGCATAGGAATCAAAGTCCAGGGGGATGGAACAGATATCTGAAATACTTGGCAGCAAGTGAGAGCTGACTTTGGAGTAGGAACAGGAACAAGGATACTGTCATTTCAACTTACTTCCACCTCTTACCCCAAGACATAACAAGCTTTCCCATCACCTCAGCCCCCTGAAAAGTACTGGGCCCAGACCCTTGGACAGTGAAATCAGCTAATAACTTTATTAAGACATAAGAAACTGGAATGAAGAAGCCTGGCCAGAGGCCTGCTTAAATGTCCGTTCCATGCCACACCCCCACACACCCCTGATTGGTTTATTTACATAGTGCCCACTCCCATAGGTTCACCCTAGGATCCGAACTGACCCATTGGCCCGTTCTAGGATCCTCTCTAGCTATTGTCTGCAGAGAGCAAAGCTTGGCTGGTTCGCATGGCCCCGTGCGCGACCTCAGTTAGTACACAACAACCTGTCTGGCTCCCTCAAATGGACTTTGTTATTTCTCCCGTGATTTCCATGATGCCTGCAAAAACGCCTGATGCCACGTCTGCCCTTCCTCAGAATCATTCCCCCCCCCCCCCGGTCTCTGGCCCCACCCACTAGTTTTCATCCCCTCTCGAAAGTGGGCTTTTGTATATGTAACCGAAAAGAATTCATATTCTGATTGCCTCTCAAGGAAAAAGAATGGAAATGGCACCAAAATACATTGACAATCCTCGATATATGGAATTGTTTGCTGCCTTTTTGAAACGTTAAAAGTCACCCGAGTATTTATTTCCTTACAGCTAAGGGGAGGGGGGGCGTGCTCCCTGTTTTAGCTCCCGCTGTAATTTTGTGTGTATAAAAGTTTTCAGAGAGACGCTGAGCCGCTGTCGGCATCTAGCGCCAGCACCAATCCGGAGGCTGTCAGGAGAAGCAACCCACAACCGTCGGCGCTAGGAGGACGCTGGCTCCGCCTGCGCTCGCCCCCTCCCCCCCCAGCGGCCTTAGAGACACCCCACAGTAGCCATGCCGATGGGGCCGCCCGGGCTGTCCCCCTCGCGGGTGGCTTGGCTCTGCGTCGCAGGCGCCACCTTGGCGCTGGGGGTGGCCGCGGCCTGGCGTCGGCGGCGGGCTCATCGAAGCTTGGTGCAGGTGGGGACGGTGTCGGGGCTGTACATCTACCCGGTCAAGTCCTGCCGGAGGGTGTCTGTGGAGGACGCCGAAGCGACTGAGCTGGGCCTCCGCAAAGGGGACCTGCGCGACAGGTACGGAGAGGGAGGCGAGCGTGGGAACGGTGCGGGCGGGCGTGACGCGAGGATTGCAAAACCAGAGGCAGGCAGGGAGGCAGCAAGCAATGGCGGCTTGCGCCGAAGAGGCTGGATCTCCAGTCGAAAGCTAGTAAGGGGAAAGAGGAGGAGTCACACCGCCGTGTGGTGTTTTGTTGTTGTTGTTGTTGTTGGGGGGGGGGCTGTTTTCAGCCTGGGTGGGCAGCCCGGTTCCCTAGCCTACCTGCGTTCAATGAAGACAGGCGGAGGGAAGAATGGAATCCGCTTGGTCCGCCCTTGGCAGTGGAACACGTGCATAGGTTACACTCCCCTATGAATTTGGTTTGACAGAGATGGGCTGCTGATGTTGTGTGGGGGTGTTCTTGTGGCGTCATCATTCTTACGGCTATCGACTAATTCGGCAAGTTCAGGGCCCAAGCTCACTATCCTCTCTGTCTGTGACAGCTACAGCATTTCGTGGTGTGGTGGTGTTGTTTTTCCCGAAAAGTGCTTGTGTGAATGCTGTGCCCTCAGTACTATCTCTGGTCTAGGAAGCAGAATGAATATTTGAACACTTGCGGAACCTGGCAAAATTGGATCCACACTGAACGTGTAGTGACCATATTGACAAAGACCATCTCAGCCTACCGCACTCATGATGACTGCCATCTATTGAGAAAGCAGGGAGGTCCTGGAACTCTCCAAGGGAGGGTCATTCCCCCTTTAGGCTTGGTCTGCACCTGAGGCAGAAGGGGGGAGGGAATGAGATGGTAGAATGGATTGTGCATTTCGGACAACAGTGAATAAATGCTACCCCACATAAGAAACCTCTTGAAAATAATAACAACATGAGGGACAAAGACTAGCTCTTTGCCTGCTGTATTGATTTTCCATTTGTGGGAGTCTTTCTCATAGGGTAATATCCAACAATGTGATTTTTGACCTGCAGTCTGCAAGTCAAATCACACAATTCATTCTGCAGTTGGAATGCCCAGTGTCTAGTGTAGCTGCAAAAAACTGATCAATGTCTGTGTGCATTGGGGGAGGGGGGGTAATGGGTTGGGGCCATTGAACCCTGGAAGCTACTTTAAACTTTTTCTCTACCCCATTTCCTCTACTGGAAATACCCCCATCCAACTGCTTTAGCAGCAAGAAAGTTCTTAGCAATGCCTGTGTTTTCCCCTTGTGGGACTTAAAGCAAGGTGGAAGCATTTTTTATTGGGGAAATGTCAGGAAGGCAAAAAGTTCACCCTTCGTTCCCCAGTGGTGTGGCCGTGATCTGTTCTGTAACCCCAAGTACTCACTTTTCTACACAGCTCAGTCAAATCTATCAACGTCCAATAGGGTAAAATGCTAGAGCAGAATTTTACAATTATTTTCAAACTGATAACATGCTCTCTCCTAACAAGCACAGAGGATCAGTGTTCTACTACAAGGCACAAGTATCAGTGTGCTGAAAAAAATTTTCACACAAGATTTTCATTGGGGTGTGTGTGGAGACCCAGCCAAGAACCATCAGGATCAGAAGCATTTCTGTAACATTTGAATGTACACCATTTCCATTTTATTAATGTATGCTCTCTTGTGCTGTAGCTACGGGTAAGTTTGCCATAGTGACATCTCCTGTGGTTTTAAAAATGCCACTGTGCACGTGTGAACATGCAAAGCTAAAATCATGATGGCTTCAGTTTGTCAGTAAACATCACAACTCCATTCCAGAGAATGCTTGTTACTCCTACATTAATTTCAGTGACATGCATGATATTTATTTTGAATTTATTTAGGAAATTTATATGCTGCCTCTCCAGAGATGCGCTTGGGGCAATTCTATGATACGGGTCCATTGTTTCCACTACACTGTGTTTGGGTGAATGTAAACTACCCGGATTTTATTTATTTTTTTGGCCCCCCGTAGGGGATTTTTTAAATTTGCATTTTCTAAAAATTACAAAAAAAAAAAAAAAAAAAGGATCTACAATCTAAGGGAGAAAGTAAAGCAAACCCACTAAAACCCCAAGAGATGGTGATCATACATAACACTTTTAAAATGAGCTTCTAGCTTAAAGTTCGATTAAAGTTCATTGTATGTGGTCAATCATTATCTTCATCCTGTAATCAAAGCAATATAAATCGCCTACACATTTGACTTAATAAAGAACAATACAAGAAACAATTAGTACTCATGTGACTTTCTAGAAACAATAACTCAGTATCTATCCTTTTTCTTTCTCAACTGATAAGTTTTTTGGGGAGCTGCAGCTCCAAGATTCGAATCCGAGTCCTCACCGGAAGACGCCACTTCTCCGTCTTCATTGCTCTCCTTGGTGCTATCATCTTTCTTCTTGTCTTCTTCACCTGCTGGATGACTATAACGTTGCAAAAACTCCATTGCCTTTTCTGTAGTGTCGATTTTTTCTTATCTTTAAATTTGAAGATTATGCCTTTGGGCACATTCCATCTGTAGGATATGTTATTTTTCTGTAAGTATAATACCAAGTCTCTATATTTGTTTCTTTTCTTCCTTATTTCAAATGGAATGTCCTTCATGATTTTAATTTCTTTGTCCTGAATCTTCAAGGTAGTTCCACTTGTAGCTTTAAGGATTTGATCCCTCACTTGTCTTCTGGAGAATCTCACCATCACTTCCTCGGACAGATTATTCCTTCTTCTATATTCAGAATGCGATCTATAGATTGTATCTATTTCATTTTGTAATGTATCCGCTTTAATATTTGCTAATGGGGCAATAGCATCACACATCATCTGGTTTAGCTCTTCCTCTTTCTCTTGAGGAACTCCTTGAAGTCTTAGAACATAGCTTGCTCTTTCCATTTGTAGCTGCAACAAATGAGACTCCTCAGCTAGTGTCTTTTTTTCCATCACCTGCAGTTGTTTTTTCAGCTTCTTGGTATTGGCATCCACTTCTTTAAGCTCTTGTTCTGATTTCTCCGTTTTTTTCACAGTCTCATTAAGTTGTGCTTGTTGTGCATCCAGCTTTTGGTGCAATGCTGTGACTTGTTCCAGCAGGGGTCGCAATGCCTCAGTCAGCATCCTTTGGAGATCAGCCGTTGTGTCCTGTCTAGGGGCAGAACTCGCTGGGCTGGCACTTCCGGAGGGAGGTCTCAGTTTCGACTGCTTGTCCTTCTCCTCCTTCTTGAGAGGCGCCATGTTTGAGATTGTTTACTTTTGTTTAAAGTTACTAAAGTCTCTAGAAACCTTTGAAAAGTCGGGTAAATTCTTGTATGTCCTTTTTTTCAGTCCACCTTGTTTCTCTAGCCCCCCCTTTAATTTACTGCCAAAAGTTCATTTGTTTTCTTGTCAGGAGAGAGTTCCCTCCCCCCCTCCCCCCGCTTCTAAAGGGGAGTCTTTCAGCTAGTTTTCAGGCATTTCACTTAGACTTTTTACTCACAGTTCAACGATGGAATCACTTTAACATAGAATTCCACTGGATCACCAAGCGCTTGTTCTGGTGTGCTGCTCTTAGTCCCATTCGGAACCTCTGCGGGGGGACCTCCGGGGCACCAGAACGCCTCGATCTGCTGGCTGCCTGCCGGGGGGAGACGCAAAGTTAATCCCCATGGCTAGGAGCTCATTCGCAGAGCTCCTGGGGAGCATGGACAATCGTGCCCCCTCCCTTCCGCGAGCTCACGGTCCGCTTCCTCAGGAGCGACCGAGGATTGCAGCCCCCATCAGAAGCGCCAAAACCGGAAGTCCAGCTACCTGGATTTTAAAGGTAAAGGTTTCCCTTGCTCAAAAGCCAGTCAAATCTGACTCTAGGGGGCAGTGCTCATCTCTGTTTCCAAGCCAAAGAGTCAGCGCTGTCCAAAGACTTCTCCAGGGTCATGTGGCTGGCATGACTAAATTCCGAGGCACACAGAACACTGTTACCTTCCCACTGAAGCAATACCTATTTATCTACTTGCAGTTTCTTGCTTTCGAACTGCTAGGTTGGCAGGAGCTGGGGCCAGAGACGGGACCTCACTCCGTTACGCGGCACTAGGGCCTTGAACTGCCGAGCTACAGACCTTCTGGTCTACAGCTCAGCATTTTAACCTCTGGGCCACCGCAGCCCTACCTGGATTTTAGGCAGAGCTAAAATAATTTGAGAAGGGAGTTGATTCTTACTTAATCCTTTATATTTAAAATTTGAAGTTGATGTTAGAATTAGCATTCCAACAATCTAAATTTTTAATTTTGAAATCTTTTCTGCAAAACTGGGTTTCAGGGATGACAATATATCAGGACCCCATTCATTGGTATGCACAGCATTCTAATGCCCTTACATCACAAACGGCTTGATTTAGGAAGCTTGGTATGGTAATATGTTTAGCTATTTTCTTCTATCCCAATTAGCTCCAGAGCAAACTAATTTATGCGGCAGGCAGATCGTTTGCTCACAATTTTAATACCAGTAGCTCACAAAGTAGAATTTTTGCTCGTAAAACTCCACAGCTTAGAGGGAACATTGATCAGGACCCCATTCATTGGTATGCAACAACATTCTAATGCCCTTACATCACAAACAGCTTGATTTAGGAAGCTTGGTATGGTAATATGTTTAGGTATTTTCTTCTATCCCAATTAGCAATTGAGAGGCAAGTATAAAAGCCTAACGTGCTTTCCATATTGAACTGTAGGTTTTGGCTTGTAATTAAAGAAGATGGACACATGGTCACAGCTCGGCAGGAACCTCGTCTGGTGCTGGTTTCTGTGGCTTTTGAAAAAGGGCGCTTGATCCTGCCCGGACTGCTCCAGAGATGAAGGAATTGAACATTCCCGTCAAGCTCCCTGAAGAGAATCCTGTCAAGAATTGCAGGTGCCGCATTCACTGCTGGTTTTTTTAAAAAAATTAAAACGGTTCAAGATGTTCTTCCCATTTGCTGTTTTTTCTTTACCTGACTTGCATGTCAAACAACAAATGTGTTAAAAGGCCCCAGAGAAACAAGTCCTTTATTGTTAGTATTCAGATTCCTGTAAATGTTGGTGAGCCACTGTGGTGTTGGTCGAGTCACTGTGATGTTGGTCGTGTCTGCCGTGGAAACTTGCTGGGTGATCTGGGGCCAGTTACATACTTTCAGCCTAACTTACCTTACACGGTTGTTGTGAGGATAAATGGGAGAAGCAGAGAATGTTGTATGCCACTTTTGTTCTCTACTGGGGAGAAATGTGGGGTATAAATGAAATAACTTATTTACATCTGTATTTAATTTATTACATGGGTTTTGTTTTTAACTGTTTACAGGTCTGCCGAAGTAGGTAACCTTTGATGTGCATAACTTTATTTATTTATTTATTTATTTGTTCGACTTATACCCCGCCCTCCCTGCCAGGGTGAGCTCAGGGTGCCTTACATAAAATGCATATATAAAATATAGTTAAAACATACATAAACAATCAGTTGTTCTTTACCACTTGTTGTTATGTAGATTGTGTCTGAGACTCCTTTCGCTGGTATAAGTTGTGTTCTATTGCTACCCAACTCAGCAAGGAAAAAAGACTTTTTGTTGGAAGAGACAAAGAGGGGATAACTGAGAAATGGGGCTACAGAGAGACTATAGAGAAGAAGAAGAAGAAGAAGAAGAAGAAGAAGAAGAAGAAGAAGAAGAA